AGACCTTGACCCGAGGCCTGTTCTCATTTTGTTAGAAAAAAGGGAGAGTAGCAAGTTTTAACAAAGTGTTGGAGACATTCAAGCACTAAATTGAAAGTTCCTCCTGTGGGTACTCAGGATTGAAAAAGTTGAAAAGGGAAGAACTGCCGCATGCTGAGATTCTGTGGTGTTTAATGCCCTGGCCCTTAGCACCTAGTCACTCAGCAAAGTACCAGTAGTTCACTTTCAACACTCAGAGAAACAGTGGCTGAGACGGTCCATGTTGCTGTCTAATATCCAGTATTTGCTCTGATTCTCTTAGGGCTGTGGGGCAAGTGGGGAGAAGGAGATACACCCTAGTGGATCCACCTTTCCCCTCATACCTTCCTTCTCTATATAGAGCTACCCCAGGCACAGGGGAGAAAAAAGGTTCAGCAGAATTTGATGTACCCAAAGGCTATTCAGCCTCTGCTGCTCCATCATCCCAGGACCTCCCAGGACTGCAGGAGGCAAGTAGGCCAGGGCAGCACTTCCTGTCTTCTGGGACAAGGGAGACTTAACTCACAGAGGCAAGCAAGCCCACTTCCATTTCAGAGTCTCTGCTCTGCCAGAGGGCGTCTGAATGAGAAGGGGTCATCGAGAAAGGGTTTTATGTGGAGCAAAATGTGGATGATGACACCATTGGCAGCAAGTCCTGGGAGAGTGAGGAGAACCCAAAAGGGCCTGCACTCATGGCGAGAAGTTGGCACCTACCTGTCACCAACTCATTTTCGCCCTGGCCAACTGAGGACCTTGCTCCCTTCCAGGATGGAGGACCAGGCAGCACAACCCTTCCTATAGTTGCTCCCTGCTCAAAAATTGAGTCTTCTAGAGCCTTCCCTACCCTTCAGGATGGAGCTCATGGCTTTTAGTATCATCTAGTCCACACAGCTTCGGGGTTACCATGGTGGCAACAGCATAAAGATCTATCCTCTTACCCTAAAGTAGCACAGGCATCCTTTGTCTGGAAACAGCTTAGGAGACAAAAATGGAGGCCACCTATCAACGAGTCTCTGCCCATGATCTGTCCTGTGTGTGTCTCTAATGGAAGAGAAATGGTTTAAGGGAGAGAAGAAAGGGAGCCCCTGAAATCTCTACCAATTTCTGCTAATCCTGGCTACATTTCCAAGTAAGATACATATTTAGGAAGATAGAGGAGAGGAAATAGGAGAAGAGACACAGATAAAGGGGAAAATAAGAGATCTGCGACTCAAAGGAAGTGGAATTCAAACTGCTAATAACAAAAAGAAGCATTTGCAGGCCCAGGACAGGAGTATAAATGGAGGCCCATATACTACATGTTTCCTTATATAAGTTACAAGATAAACTTAAATATGCTCTTCCTTCTACATATGCCTTTCTAACAATCTGGCAGGTCAGGTTAGAATCTGGAATCTGAGAACTTCATGAGTTCTCTGGCACATGATGGCTCAGTCCCTCATCTGGAGAGGGTTTCTTCGCACAAATGTGGGTACCCCAACACACATGCCCTAACTCAACACGACTTGCAAATGTGAGCCTGGAAAGTGCCCTTGAGGGACAGACCTGAGAAAGAGCCTACCCAGGCCCAAGCTGCATGTTCGAGCCCGTTTAGACGAGAGATTCAGGAGCCCCAAGTCCCCAGAGCGTGGTCTGGAAGAGGGAAGGGGTATGAGCTCCAGGCTGTCACAACCTCTCGTTCCTATAGCCTCCTTGCCCTGTGGGATGAGGTACCAGTGGATCTATGGGTAGTTCAATAATAACAAGAGCGAATACCTTGTGTGCCTTTTGCCATTTACAGGTGAGGAAACTGAGGCTCAGACAGGTTAGCGATTTGCCCAAAGTCCCCTGATTGTAAGCCCTGTACTCTGGCTTGCCCCTATTTCAAGAATTGAGGTGACTAGTCCTTACCCAATAGGGCAGAGTCTATGGGTTTTGAGCAGGGGGGAAATAAAAAAAACAAGGGAAGGGAAATTTCCTGACATTCTCCCAAGACACCATGGGCTAGCCATTAAATACCAGCTGGAGGGGCACTAACAGGCTTGGCACATTTCGACATTTGACTCCTCCTGTCCCCCTTCCACATAGCTTTGTGAGCAGGGGGCAAGGCACAGACAACCCTCTGAAAGACAACTCTGTTAAAGCAAGGCCAGAATTCTGCATTATTTGCTCTCAGAATGTGATTAGAAAATGCAATTTCGGTTTTTGTTTAAAAAACAGTTACAGTTTGGTAATGGCTTATTTCTCGTTTAGAATCTCAACAAAATGAAAACAGTTACCACCACCTCAGCAGCCAATGAGCTCCAGAGGACAAGTAGAAGGTGTGTCCCGGTCCCTGGCAGGAGGCGGCACTGCACCCCACCCTGCTGCTCCCCAGTGACAGGGATGCTTGGGAGGGAGGCCACAACTTCCATCTTGTGAACTCCAGGCTGTGGGCGGGGGCTAACTTGCCCTCAGGCCTTCCCTTTCTTACCGGCTCCCACCTCCCTCCTGAATGTTTATGGTGAAAGGAGCAGGTGGAAAAGATGCAATTGAAGAGTAGCGCTACTTTGGTGCTGGTGAAGATGAGCTTGGCACTTAAAATGCAAAGGCTCTACCCTGAATCTGTGAACATTTTTAAGAACAATGAGTGAGTGTCCCCAGTGCATTAACTACAGGGTCCAGCAGAAGTAATGCCTGTTTGAGTGTGGTTGGTAGAATAATAGGAGTGTAGTAATTTATAGTTTGGTATAGGTTTCAGGTTTCTCAACCCCACGCTCTAAGTCTGGAGTTCCAACTTCCGGTCAAGGGCACTTCTCAATGCAGTGCACAGAGCTGGTGCGTCAGTGGCTGGAGTCCTTTTGGATAGAAAGCATGGCCATCTTCATTGCTATTCTTTGGGGTCAAGTCCACTGCAGCCTGAAGTTGAAGTCCTCCTCTCAGGCTGAGGCTGCCTTGAACCCCCCAAGTGGCGGACACATGGGTGGCAGCAGAGGGTGTGCACTGTGCCTCTGAGTCGTTCTGCTGCAAAGGCTGTGAGCCCTGGTGCAGCTTGGCTGCCTCTGCCTGTGCAGCTTTGCCTGTGTGGGCTGGGGAGTGGGCATGACTGGGTGTGACAGGCTGGCTCTGTGGCACATGGGTCACAATGTCAGGACTTTTCATCATCCCCTTTACAGATGAGGAAATATGCTCAGAAAGGCTATGCGACTCACATAGCCAGTGCCTGGTAGGGCTGGGAGCAAGGCTTCCTTACCCCCAAACTGTTCTGTGGCCCACAACCCCATGCCCTAAGACAAGTCCAGCCGCAGCAGCGATGCTGCGGCGACCTCAGCAGCTGGGGCTGGTGTGGGGGAGCTGCGGGACCCCGAAGGCAGGGCCTGGACACAGCCCGAGATCCTATGCCCGCGGAGCGGTGGAAACGGGCCCTGTGTGAGCCCAGGATCAGGACCCACGGGGGACTCAGTCCGGCTGCACTGATCAGATCAGATCAGGCCAGAGCCAGTGCCAGGGTCCTGACATGTTAACACTCGGCAAAGGACTCCAGGCAGGCCACGGAGTGAGCGATAGGAACAGCAGGTGTCAAGAACCAAGAAGTGAGTCAGAGCTCAACTAGAGGAGCAAGAGAGCAGGTGGCTGAGGACTTAGGAGTTCAAGATCAGGTTTGATTGTTCTGTGCCACTTAGGAGCTGAGTGACCTTGGGTAAGTTACTTAACCTCTGAGCCCCACTGTACTCATCTACAGACAGGGGAACTCATGCAGGTAAAGCACCCATCATAGGGTAGCACTGGGCAGGCATTTGGGCAGCTGTGGACAGGCTGCCCTAGACCCTGTGTCTGTGGCCACCTGACTAGCCCCTGCCTCCATCTGCTGGCGGGGCTGAAATTCCTACTGGGATCCTGCTGGTGTCTAAGCTGGACTGGGAACTGGACTGACCTCAGCCAGCGGGTGGAGGGCAGCAGCGACTCTGCCGTGAGCGAAACTGACACTGACCATGCTACCACCAAGGAAGTGATGATGGAAAAACGGACACTAGATGTTTCAACTCAGGAAGCCCACAAAGTTGAGATGAGCACTGGGCTTTCAATGAATGTCGCTGCAATAAAATCTCTTTTATTTGGAGTTCTCTATAAAAGCATTACTTGGCCTCAGAGGCCAGGGTCCTGCAGGGACCTCCTCCAACATCACATCCCAGACGATTAGGATGCCCCGAATCTTCTCTGGGGAGCACTGGGCTGAAGAGAGCAGAATGAAGGGGCGTTGCTAATAATACCCACCCCTGGTCCAAGTCCTGTCATGTGCCCATTCGCATAGGAACAAGCATTTTCTTTAGAAGTACCTGTCACCCAGGAGCCAAAGAGTCAACTAACTTGGCTGCCTCTGACTTTGTTGGATAAAAGGAGGAAAATGAAAATGCACATGGCCTGGAAATATACAACGGCATGCACTAAAAACTGCCACTTGGATTGAACCTGAGAACAAACAAAGGCAACTTCACAGGGATCCCTCTCCCCCCACCTCACACCCTGCCCACTTCTCTCACTGGAAGAATCCTTTCTAGCAAATTTTGTTCACTCCCCAAAACACATGAGCTAGTTCCACAAGCCTGCCTGGGTCACATGAGACTTGAGACCCCGAGCAGCCAAGCCCCTGAGCGGCTATGACAGTGCCTGGGGGACAAGGACGCCTGACCTCCACTTCCTGCCCTCTGCCCGGAGATGTACTTTTATTTTCCTTCCTTGCTCCCTGGGAAGGAAGGATCCTTTGTGAAAGCCCACTTTCACAAAAACAACAAAGAGCAGTGGGCAGCAGCCTGGAGAACCTCCCACCAGCCAAGCAGCTGCCCTGCAGCTCACGGCAGCCCTCCGCCCTCCGGGGACGGGCACTGCTACCTTCCGGTCCCCTCAGCTCCCCCAGCGCCGCCGCCGCATCACCACGCTGGCCACCCTCCTCCCCCTGCTCTCCACGCTAATTTCAAATCATTTCATTAACAGACATCTCCTCCACTTCTGAAAGCTATTCCCCTTTAACAGACCATGCGAGGCCCCTACTATTCCTTCCCTGTTAGCTCCAGGGTGGTCCCCGTCTCTGAGCTCAGAGGCTGCTGTTTTACTTTAATGCAGACACACTGCCCATTTAGAAAACACCTGAGGTTGAGACGAGTCACTAGGCAGATGAATGCCCCAAGTGATCAACAGCACTCAAGTTGGTGCAAAAAACTGATGGGGAGGTTTCAGGCTCTGGCAAGGGGAGGGGAGACGGAAGGGTTTATTTTAAAATGCTTTTTAATATTTTTTTTAGGTATCAAGTGTCAAGAAACCATTCAAGGGTGTCCTCTTCACTTCTCTGGCCCGGGAGGGAGTGTGTACCAGCCTGAGACGGTGGGGAATGCACGCTGCTGTCACTGGGTGGGCTGCCGACTGCATCCCCGTCTAAGTGGCTGTCCGCGCGCCACCAGAGCCCGTGCACTTCAGAGGAGTGGGCTCGTTTATGGCTCTAGGGCTGCCACTTCTTGGGGACAAGCTCTGTTCTTCCTGCATGACTGCTGAGAAAGAACTCCTGGTCTGATCGAGTTCCTTTCTCTCTCTGATTCCCAAGCCGGCCTGCTCCCCCACGCCAAGGCACAGCCTGCTCCCCCCCAAGGCACAGCCTCGCAGAGGCCTTCGAAGAACCTGAAATCAATTTAAATGACTACTCACGTCAGGTGACGGCAAATGTGGGGTCACAGAACCCGAGGGTTACCTTTTGAAACAACAGCTTCAAAATAGACCCCCACACAGCTGAGGACAAAGCAACATTCTGTTGGCCAAAGCTTCAGAGCTGAACTGACCTTAGTAACAAATAAATCTATGAAGGCGGAGGGGCTGGCGGCCCCACTCCAGATGAGACCCTGAGCTGAATACCTTCTGCCCCTCCATCCCCTCTCCACCTTCTGCGCCTGCTCCTTGGCGGTGGTTCAGGCCACAGGGACTGGGAGATCTAAGGAGATGGGAGGGCGGGAGAAAATTCACCTCTTGTAGGTCACAGCAGGTTGGATGTACGCCCTCCTCAGCATCCTACACTCACTCTTCAAATATCCTCAAATTACCCATTTTGAGTATTCTTTCCTACCAAGACCCTGACTAATACAGACACTTCATTAAGTGGAACAGCAGGTGTCAAGAACCAAGAAGTGAGTCAGAGCTCAACTAGAAGAGCAAGAGAGCAGGTGGCTGAGGACTTAGGAGTTCAAGATCAGGTTTGATTGTTCTGTGCCACTTAGGAATACAAATAAATGCCCAGGTATTTATTATGCCCTTGGATAAATGACAATGTTGTAAACATCAAGTTAAAAGGCACAGCCCTGACCCAGGCCATAGACCACTTTAAAGATCCCTATTTGAAAGCCCAGGCCTGACACACTTGGTCTCTGGCACAGGGAGACTTTCTGGAGCCCAAGTTTCAGGAATGAAGGCTTCCTGGCAGACCTGTCCTGCTGGTGGGAGGGTGCCCTCCCACCCACAGAAAGACGCGTCTGCATGGGCTTGGGCCCTGAACCTGACGACTGGCCATCCCATGGGGACTTCTTTTCCAGCGGGACCCCTCTGGTTAGGGAGAGCTGAGAATTCTCCCATCGTGCTGTCAGCTGGAAGGAGCAAGGCTGGGTTTTAGCACTTAACTGAGCCAAACACTGGCAACACAGTCCCCAAGAGGCTACAAATAAGGCGGAATGTAACCATCAGCTAGGAAAGTGATACCCCACTTCGCGTCTGTGTAACTGTGTCTTATTCAGATGTCTTTCGCTCTTCTTCAAAAGTCTCGGGAGTGCTCTGTTAAAGTGTCTGGAATGTCTCTGCCTGGCACGGAGACAGCACGTGTCACCGGCTCCCCAGGTAGAGATGAGGCCCGGGTGTGCTTCGCTCTCTGCACTGAGCCCAACTCCAGACCTCTGCACGCCCGCCGAGCCCTCCCGGCTGGTCCCGTCCTTCTCACCGGGCTTGCGGTGCCGACTCTCTTGCCACTGACCCCTGCTAGATGAGGTGCACAAGCAGGGCAGAGCAGGCCGAGCCGAGTACCAAGCCTACATACATGTAAAAGGACATCACCACCCCTGTGGCCTCGGCCAGCTCCCTGGACACGATCTTGGGCCCGTAGATGAGGGCTAGGGTGCTGAGGTAGCCGTTGCTGAGCCCCAGCAGGGAGCTGAACAGCACTGGGTAGATGTCGGACGGGAAGACCACCGTCTGCAGGTGGACACGGGGCTGGAAGTTGCAGAACATGAAGAGGGGGACGAGGCCGGTCCGGAGCAGCACGAGCGCGGGGAGCGCCTTACTTCTGGGCCCTGGCACCTGGATCCAGGCCGTGATCTGCCGGCCACACAGGTCAGCAAAGTTGAACAGGAGGAAGGCAGTGAGGGGGACAAAGAACTTAGCGGTCCACGGTGAGCCTGAGTCCTTGTCGAGGGATTCAATGTTGGTGGAGATGGCAGGGAAGATGACGCTGGTGATGAAGAAGAGGTAGATGACACAGAAGCCCAGGCCCGCCGTCTTCTTTAGGATGGGGACGAGGGGTGGTGTTGGGGAGGAGCTGGATCCGGGAGCCACCAAAGGGGCACTGGGCGAGTCCTGGAATGACTGTTCTTCACCAGAAAACACGTGGGGCGGCCAAACAGGCCGCATGTAGTACCTGCAGGCAGAGGGGCACATGGTCAGAGAGCCGCAGGAGGAAAACTCGGGATTTCTAGGGACAAGGAGGGGACCTTTAGGCCAGCCTGTAAAGCCCAAGCCCCTGATGGCCCGCAGCCCCAGAATGCTCTCAGGTGATACGCCTGCTACAGCATGGCCTGGGGGAAGCTGGCGCAGTCCCTGACCTGCCTGACCCGGTGCTGCCTGAAAGGCTGGACTCCACCCAGCCCGTCCTTCTGTGGTGGCGGCCATACCCCGAGAAAGGTCAGAGGAAACCAGCTCTGACCTCGGACAGCATGGCGAGCCTGGGCCCCAGTCTCCCTTCACATGTTTTTTGTTTTGTTTTGGGGGAGAGAGGATGGAGGTAAAATAGCATTTAAGAATACAAATTTTTAAAATTATAAAATAATACATGCTTGATGCAATGAACCCAAATAACACAGAAGAGAAATGATGTAGTAGGATGAGACCTCTCCGCTCTGGTCTCACTCCCCAGAGGTACTGATCATTAAACACTTGGTGTACATCGTTCTACGCATGTGCAAACACCCTGTACCTCCCCCCACCCCAGTTATGTTTCTTAAGCAAAAGTAGCATTAGATATACATACTGTAAAACTTTCTGCAGCAATGTAATTCCTAAATACATTAATAATAGATAAATACATCATATGACTGCATAAATACACTCCTAACTATTATACATAAATGGATACATATAATTGTCCAAAGACCATTGTATGGCCATCCTTTCACACGAGGACACAGGGCTCTTTATCTCCGTTGCATTGCTGCCGAGTATTTTACGGAATGAACATACAATTCAACTGCTCCCCTACTGGTGGACATTTAGGTTAGCTCCAGTTTTCCTCTATTACAAATAATGGTGCAGTGAATATACCTATACATAAGTCCTTGCATGCATATAGTAGTATTTCAGTAGGGCAGATTTCTAAGAGAGTAGCTACTGGATCAAAATGTTTGTACCTTTTGCGCTGGCTGGTGTGGCTCAGTTGATTGGAGTGTCACCCCATAAACCAAAAGGTCATGGGTTCGATTCCCAGTCAGGGAACATGCCTAGGTTGCGAGTCTGGTCCCTGGACAGGGTGCATATGAGAAGCAACCGATAGATGTTTCTCTATCCTTCTCTATTTCCCTTCCCCTCCCTCTAAAATCAGTCAGCATGTCCTCAGGTGAGGATTTTTTTTTTTTAAAGGTTTGTACCTTTAAAATTTTACTGATATTGATGACTTGCTCTTCGAACAGTTAGAACTATTATATCTCTACTCTGTTTGACCCACCCACCCTACCCTTCTAATCTCTATGAGAGCACCTGTTTATTTCTTTAAAAAAACTGACAAGAATTTATAATCATTATGTTAATTCACTGGCTTATCTTCTGTCTCCTTTAATAGAAGACAGCTCCCTAGGGCAAGAACCATGTTTGGCTCTTTGCAGCTAATCTCCAGGCACAGAATAGCTTTCAAAACATAATTTTTGAAACAACTGGTAAGCCTATAAAAGTATCTTTTCCCCATATCCTCAATACTGAATATTATCAATCTTTTCAATTTCTGCTACCCTGATCAAAAAGGTATGGGTCACATTGCCTTGCTGTGTGACCTTGGCTGAGTCACTCAACCTCTCTGGGCCTCGGGTGTCTGAAAACCAGGAGACACGGGCTTACTGTATTAAGATACCTTAAACAGAGGGCTTGGTATGGGGATCGGGGAGCAGCAGCCTGGTGATGGCTGGGTTCTGATTTCAGTCCTGCTTTCCCTCCCCGTGTGCTGTTAGGCCAGGTATTCTTTTTGAGCCTCGGTTTCTTCCTCTGACAAATGAGGGGCTCTGCAGCCATGGGCTTTAGGATCCCTGTCAGTCCTCCCAACCCTAAGAGCCTACAGATAACAAGCAGGTTGGCGGAAGGGTTCCTCCCCAGAATCACATTCCCATGTGATGCTGAGCAGGGCGTTTTGGGCCATGAACCCTGCTGTTTCACAACTGCTGTTTAGGGAAAGAAGTATTCTTACTTCTCCCTCTACTCAGTGTCAGCTTCTTGCCTTACATCTGCTCTGAGGAAGCTCCCTACCAACTTCCTCTGGTTGAAGCTCCTCCTCCTAAATTCTTCCAAATCTGTCTCGTCTCACCCCATCAAGGTCACGAGCCCACGAAACTGCATGACGCTCAGTTCCCAGTGCCTCCTGGGTGGGATGGGGCAGCCCAGCCCTCCTGGTGCAGCACCTGTGGGCTCCCTTTTTTCTTTTAATCCTCACCTGAGGATACCATCATTGATTTTAGAGGTGGGGGGAGAGAGAGACAGACAGACAGACATCAATGTGAGAGGGAAAGATCAATCAGTTGCCTCCTGTATGCACCCAACTGGGGATAGAACCCTCAACCTTTCGGTGTATGGGATGATGCTCCAACTCCCTGAGCCACCCAGCCAGGCCCCGTGGGGTCCCTTTTAAGAAAGATTTAGTCAGAGCAGCTCCAGGAGCACAGCCCCCTCTACAGTGCCATCCTCAGCTGAGTTTCTATAAACCAGAAACTCAGCTGAGGATGGCACTTCAGTGTTAATCAGCAAAGAAACGGAAGCTTCCACGCAACAGCACAGCTCTGGGTGTTTGCTCTCTCACATGCTCAGCCGGGATGGATTTTGGCCTGTTCAAGTGAGACTGAAATGTGGGGTGACCAATGTTCTGGTTTGCCTGAGATTGTCCTGGTTTTGGCACTGAAGCCCCTCATCCTGAGGACACCTTCAGTCCCAGGCAGGCAGGAAAGGCCGGCGCCCTGCTGGAAACAGGACGGGGAACTGCCGGTGTGGTAGGAACCTCCTGCCTTCTGTTCAGTCAGTGATTCAAAATAACTTAATCAGCAGTGACAAGGTAGCAGGTAGTGTATGGGGTGCTGGAGAGGGGACAGGGACACTGAGCCAGCCAGAACCAGGATCCACGGGGAAATCATCAGGAAGCACAACTAGGCAATTTCTGGCGGCGGCTTTGAAGGAGCAGAGGAGTGGATGGGCAAGCTCGGGGTCTGCAGGCTCCTAGGGGTCGCAGGGTCAAGTTGCTCAGGTCCCTTTTATCTTCCTGAGGCCACTGAGTGTTAAAACGATCCTCAAACTGGGAAAGCAACCTGCCCCAGTAGAATTGCAGTTCTGGTGGTTAGCAAGGTGACTCTCTCACAAAAGCAGGACAAACGGATGATGAGGACAGACCCTTGCAGTCACAAGCCAGAGCTGTGACATGATGCGAGGCCAAGAGCGCAGCTCCAGAAACAGCTCTGGGTTCAAATCCCTGCCTGCCACTCACCAGGTGAGCAACCTGAGCATGTCTGTTAACTCTCCAAAGCCTCAGTTTCTTCATCTGTAAACCGGAAAAATACAGTAACAACAGCACACAGTCTTGATGTATGGTAAATGAAGAAAAGATATATGGGAGCAGCTTAGCTCGGTGCCACCACAAAATAGGTTCCCTGTGGACAACGGCAGAGCCAGGACCCAAGCTCTCCCCAGCGCTGCTGGCTCGCACACTGTGAGACCAAGACCAATCACCGGGCCTTCTCTGTCTCAGTTTCTCCCCCTGTAAAATGGGGAAACAGTTCCTGCCTTTTCTACATCAAAGAAGATAATGAATACAAAAATGTATTGAAAACAATATGAGAAAAAGTCAAGAGTTGTTTTTAAAGAACAGCAGGAAGCAAGGAAGAAAAAAGAAATGAGAGAGACAAAACAAGAGAGAGACTAAGGTGAGAGGAGAGGCCCTGCAGGGTTGGGGGAGGCCCCGAGAGACGGTGGTTAGAAAGGCGGGTTGTAGCCAGGTTTGAATTCTGATGCTGCTGCTAACAGGCTGAGCAACGAGGCTCAGGGAAGTAATTCAACCTCTCTGTGCCAGGTTTTCTCATATGTGAATGGTAACAATCATGACAAATCATCATGCTGTGTCCTACGAGGAACAGGCGTGTGAGTACTAACTGAGAGATGAACCACCGGGCGGAGCTGACACGATGCAGGGGCAGCGGAGGTGCTCAGTGAGCAGAGCTATTGTTCATCATTCTTATTCCTTGGGTCCCACCACCTGCCCGCCCCGTCTGAAAACTTGCAGCTCGCGTCCACTGGCCGGCTAATTTATTGAGCAACTACTATGAGCCCAGCACAGCTCGAGGCACCAGGACATAGCAGTGAACAAAATCTATACAACTTCTACCCTCAGAGAGCTCGCACTCCCGCAGGGAGATGGGCAGTAAACAGGGAAACAAACATGCCACCTCATTACAGGACAATGCCAGTAAATAATAAAAAGACACAATCACCTAAAAAAACTGGGAGCGCGAGAGGTGGGGCCTCACCTGGCGTACTCCAGCCGCGGCAGCAGCAGGTAGAGCCCGATGCAGAGGCTGAGGAAGACGTCCGCCGTCAGAAAGAAGGCCAGGGTGCTGTTTGTCACATCGTTGGACAACGCCAGGTCCACCAGGGAGGCCACGGCACTGATGGTGCCGCCCATGGCTCCTCCTGCCGAGAATACACGACACCATCAAAAAGGTGAGGCGGGTCCGTCTTCCCTGCATCGCAGATCTGTCTTCTCTCTGCTCAAGGTTAACAGAACCAAAGTAACGTTTCTCCCTGCTGAGAAAAATGCTGCAGTTCTCAGAGTGTCCTGGATCCTGGGCAGACAGGGAGGGGCTCTGCTGCCGTGAGCTTTCAGACCCTAAGAGGGTATGGGTTTTCATGTCCCTGGCCCAGGATCTCGCCGATGGGCCTGTAAGAGGCTGCTATCTGAGGGGACAAGTGGCCTCCAAGGGTTTGCCTGTTTTCTGGTTTCACCTCTAATCCTTGACCCTGCATCACTCTTTATTGCCCTACTGGTGGGGTCAGAAATTTTAGATTTGGGGCACGACATCTCAGAGAACTCCCCTTCGGCTCTAACCATTGTCCCACCGAACTGGGAAAGAAGCTCAGGGAAGGCCTTCGCACGGGCTCTGCAGCTGCCCCCGAGCCAGGCTTTCTGATCTGGGCAGCCCTTAGCAGTTACCGGGTCCCTGTGCCGCCCACCCGTGACCTCCTGGAACTTACCTTGTGCCCCATGGCAGCTGTAGCACCATACATGTGTGGACACATGAGCGCATGCACACACACATTCACACACATATCCTGTCACACACACAACATACCTCACTGGCACACTCACTACACATACATATAGACTCCCACATATACACTATCATACATGTGCACCCCCCACACATAGTAACACACATTTGGTCATATACATACTCGCTCACGCACACTGTCACACTCTTACACACATGCACTCACACTTACTCACATGCAACTGCTCCACCACATGGAATGTTCTCTCTTGCCGAGGGCTTTGACCTGTGAGCCATATGACCACATGGCGCCACATCTGTCACTGCTACCTAACAGAGGAGGCAGCAGAACCTAGTGGGCCCGGGGTCCAGGCTGCAAACTGATGTACATCTGACCCTTAACGCTGCCACTTGCTCATTGTGACCTGGATGCTAACATGACATCCTGGAGCCACAGTTTGCTCACCTGTAAAATGGGGATAGCAGGACCTGCCCTACAGGGCTGCTTCGAGGACTGAACGAGATGGTGTTCGAAAAGGGCCCGGTGCAAAGCAGACTTTCAACAAATGTCTGTTGCCTTCTTTTGCCACAATCATGCAGTTGTTTTGGGAAAAGGAATGTATCTTCCTCTTCTGCCGAACCCTCCCAACCAAGGGTAATCAAGTTTTGCTGGCCCAGAATCAGTATATTAGCTGAGTGATCATTTACTCTTCTCTACCTCTGTCTATCTGCCTGGAAAACGGTGCTAATACTCGTCCTGTCATCACATGAGGCTGTCGTGAGGAGGAAGTGGGATAATGAATAGAAAAGACACTGAGCACAGATACAAGCCTTAGCACCAGCACGGTAAGTGCCTGGTGACTAAGCTGGATTGACTGGCTGAATGGATGAATTTTGATTCTCAAGGAAGCAAGAAGCGGCTGACTGCAGACAGCAGACAGCAAACTGCTCCGTGTAGGCGTGAAGCGCTTTGGTATTTTATTAGGCAGCTCGGACTGGACACCACTGTGCTGCCTGCTGTTGCACGGAGGAGTGGGAGAGGGACGGCAGTTCTGGCCCTTGTCCCCTGTAATGCCCATCGTCACTGCCTCACCCGCACTCTGCCCAGCACCTCTGTGGCTCTGCAGAGAACAACCCATGGCACTGGTGGACGATCCCAGCCTTCTCCATAGCCACAGGCTGGGATTTGAAGGAAGGCAAAGAAAAGTTAGCACAGTGATTATAGGCACAGACTCAAGAACCAGAATAGCTGAGTCCAACCCCAGCTCCACCACTTCTGGCTGTGTGATCTTCAGTAAGTCGCTTAACCTCTCTGTGCCCCCGTTTCCTCACCTTTAAAATGGGGTTGTTAATAAAACTCACCTCTTAGGGCTGTTTTAAAGATTAAAAGGATTATTACATGTGAAGTGCTCAGAAGAGTACCTGGCACAGAGAAGTACCATATAAATCCTCTCAGATTCTCAATTAGGTGTTTGGCTATTTCTGTCCTTCCTACATCAAAGCAGCAACAACAGGGTAAACCCTTTGCCAAGAGGCTGCCAACTTCTGAGAAGCTGTAATCCGCACCTGGGCGTTTTGTAAGAACCGGGGTTAAACCCAGTAAGACATTCGCCGGCTGCCCCGAGGAAGAGATCTAACATCACTGCCTATTGATTTTCCTCTCTCTCTTCCCAAGTTGTAGAGAATTTACAATATTATCATCAACAACAAACCAGGCCTCGGGGAGCTCATCCTTCATGACTCCCTACTTTTATCTCATCAGTTATGGAAATACATGCAAATGAGGGGGTTAAAAAAACACCAGTACAGAACGAATGAATTGTTCCTCAGATACCAACACAGGCAGAATTCACAGATGGGCTCCTCTGGACGAAAAACAGAGGCTGGTGAGGTGACTCTGGGGCCTCTGGGAGAGTGGACACCTGGGACTCTCCGGGGTGACAGGTGCCCAGTGAGGCTGCACACAGTGATGACAGTGGCCCAGGGCCCAGGGTAATTAACACAGAAGTGCGAGAACTGGATTTCAACACTTTTTCGAAAATGGACTTCCTGAACAGTCCAGGGAGTATCCCCCTTCCCTAGAAGATTCTCAGGTGGCCAGGTGACCCTGAAGGACTCCTTGCCAATATGAAAGGGTATGTTCGGTCATGGCCCCTGACAGGTAATGAGCAAGGTTGACATTATATTGAAAAACATATCTCCTAGCAGGATGGAGGGAGATGAGGGGATAGACGGTCACTCTGAGACAGAAGGACTGACAGAAGGGATTAAAGCCAGCACATGGCGGTCATTTCCTTCATCTCAGACATGCCGTTCTAGAGGCATTGCTAGAGACATACTGATTGTACTCCAGAAATTTAGCAGTGGGTCCAAGGGTTTCCCAGGATAGAGCCAGAAGCCTAATCCTGTATCAAAAATGGCAAACAGATATGAGGCCACATCTAACTCTGACCCGTTGACAGTAACTGTCTCCAGTGCTGTGTTGAGAAGGATTTAGAGGCTCAGGAGGAAAGATATAGATCTATTAGTGATATCTAGCACTGGCATGGGAGTGGAAAGGGACATACACTTGTCGAGGTATTTGTCATGCCTGCTACGTACTACCTGGCATTATTCATTATGGGTGCACAGCAGATTCTCTGTGAAATTCTTCTCAAGTGAGCAAACGCTCACAGCACTCCTTCACACAACAAGGATGTGTGGAGATGCTGAACGGAGCAGCTGAGTCCTCAGTCTTGCTTTAAGGGGCGGTGGTCTCTTGGGAACGCACAGACTCTTACTGACCCAGCTCCTTTTTATCTTGTTGGTACATCTGGGTGAGAGAACAGACCTGCTAAGGGCTAAACAACAGGCTTGGGATTAGAACCAAAGTTTCAGCTAAAGGGCTTGGCCCAAGTCACGCATCAGCGTCCCCACAGAAGGCCAAAGTTCAGGGCCACAGGAGTTGATTCCCTAGGCTGTCGGCTCCTAAGAGGCTGAGTCTTGTTCATCTTTGAATCCCCGGCACATAGCAGGTCTTCTAGAAAATCAGAAAGGAGGAAAAGACAGACAGAAGGGAGGGAAGAAGCAGGGAAAAGTAAGGGAATGGAAAAATAAAGAATAGGGGGAACAGGAGAAGGGAAAGGGGGAGGAGGGAAAGAAAGGAACGCTGTTTCAGGAAGTGCACTTGGTAGACAGACTATGTTTTCCAACAGTGGCTGCAACTTTGTCCTCCCTCCCACCAGCTCCTCCGACAGTATAATTTTCATACGCTCCCACTGAGACAGTGTGGGTGTGTGTTCTCTTCTCTTAAATCCTGATGAGCTTATGGCTACTGTGGAAGTGACCCTACAAGGTAAATCATAAAAGGAAACAACGCTCTGCCCGGGTCCCTTTGGATCCTCGCTCGTGCCACCCGGACCACGCCATGGGGAAGCCTGGGCCGCCACGGTGAGGTCCAGGTGGCGAGGAACCCTGGCCCCAGAGCCAGCCCTGGCTGAACCCCCAGCCAGCAGCCGGCACTATCGTGCCAGGCAGGCGAGCATGCCGCCTCGAGCGTGGATTCCCCAGCTCCAGTGGAGCTTAATCAGTGGATGCCTCACGGAGCAGAGGACAGCTGACCCCACCGACTCCCACCCAACTCACAGATTTGTGAGGAAGAGAAACAACTGTTACTATTCTAAGCCCCTAAATTCTGGGGTGCTTTGTTACTCAACAATATATCATGGAAACACACCTACCACTCATTTCCTGTTCTGGAAGAGTGGTCACACACTCACCTCTGGCTCTTTCACGTGTCACCCGAAAGGACTAACCTGGTCTGCTGTCTGGACCCCAGCTCTCACCTGATATAAGTGCCTGGGAATTCCTCATAGGGAAGGAGCCAGTCATGCCGAAGATGCTGCTATTGAAGACGGTGGAGGAGCCACTGAGGATGGCCATGCAGGCGATGGTGACAGCAAAGAAGCTGCGGGTCCAGGAGAAGGTGTCCACCTTCACCAGCACGGTCATTACCACGAAGATGGCCAGCATGACAGTCAGCGAGGCCAGCACACGGACACGAATCGGAACTCTAGGGGGGGATGCCAGAAGTGGTCAGACACCCCCTCGGGGCTCCATGCCAGGGCTGGCGGTGAACATTCCTACAGGAAGCAGGTGACTCTGGGGCTGGGACTGTCCATCTGCAGCCTGGAAGCCTGGGTCTGAATCCTGCCCTTTCCAGCTTACTAGCTGTGTGGCCTTGGATAAGTGACTCCGTTGCTCTTGTTTCAGTTTCTGGACAACAAGGGGGAGAATGGATCTACCTGCAGGAGCGGTTGTGAGGATCTCCGCAGGGGAGTGTGCAGAGCGCAGACAGGAGCGTCTGGCCCAGGGCAGGTGCTGGGCAGATACTGCTTTTTGTCTTGCTGTGAGGTTCAGGACAGAACGTGAGGGCTCTCGAGGCATCGCCCTGCTCCTCTTGCCACAGGGCTGAGCTCCTGCTGGCTCTGCCGAGTGTTTAACAGAGCAACTGCCCACTGGGCTTCCACCCCACAAAACTTAGTAATGGGGGGGAAAGAAGAAAAACGTCATCACCCCATCCTTGTCATCATAGCAAACACTCGGTACTTAATTTGTACTAGGTACTCTCCTAAGTGTTTTCTATGTGCTAACTTATTGAATTCACCTACCAGCTCTATAGATAGGTATTCTTACCTATCCTGCATGTACAGATAAGGAGACAGGTTAGAGAAGCTAAAGAAGTTGCTCAAGGTCATTTGGCTGTGAACCCAGGAGATCTGGCTACAGTTTGTGCTCTCAGAATGACACTCTAGTGCCTCCCCTGGAGCTAAGAAAATAAGGGGGTCTAGACAAGTGGCCGGGACAGCGGCTTCTTCTATGATGGTCTCCGTTGTCAGGGGCAGCAGCTGATGCCAAGCTTGCACAGCTCAGGACCAGCCCCCGCCCCACCTCCCACCCCAAATATAGGCCCTACAGCCCTCCCCGCCCCTAGCCTGCCCAGACACTGCCCTTCAGAGAGAAGCAGGGAAGGCTGATGCTCAGAGAAACTGCACATTTTTATTCCTGGGAGAGGGAACATCACCGAAAGAGGCTTTTTAATTCATCAGATTAGACTAAGCTTTAAACTGGATTGAAAGTTAATTTTCCCTCTAACTAGTGGGTAAGGGCTGGGAGAAAAGCCAGATTAGTTATACATAATTTTTTTTGATAAAAGGTAGAAAAATATATATGTACATAAATAGGTGTGAAATGATGAACATGAAAAGCAAGAAAGGGTTTTTTTCAAAGTGCTTTTTTGGCCCCAGGCTAATCTGCGTTTCCTTCTGATCCAGCGGAAGGGAACAGGTGCTGCCTCTGCTTTGTAAGGGGTAGAAGGAAGCCCAAGGAAGTACGGGGATGGAGGGTTCAAAGCCCTGGTGTCGTCTGTGGGGAGATGGGACTAGAACCCAGGTCTGCAGAGCCCCAGCTCTGGTGGTGCCCAGAGGCAGACCTTACTTTAACTTTTCAGGTAAAGAATGAGAAAATCCTGCCCTGGCTGATGTGGCTCAGTAGACTGAGTGCCGGCCTGTGAACCAAGGGGTCATTGGTTCGATTCCCGGTTGGAGCACATGCCCGGGTTGCGGGCCAGGTTCCCAGTGTGGGGCACATGAGAAGCAACCACACATTTGATGTGTCTCTCCCTCTCTCCCTCCCTTCTCCTCTAAATAAATAAATAAAAACCTTAAAAAAGAGAATGAGAAAATCCTTTTTGTGTCTCTACTGTCACCAAGAGCGCCAACTAACACAGAGGCACATCAGGGTTTCCAGCCTACATGCCCTCCTTCTTACTAGAAGCAGGCTGCACGTGACAGGTAATCAACCCCCTGCTAAGAGCAAACTTTAACCAATGCCCGGGAAGCGGGAGGATAAACACCCCAACTCCGTCCCCCCCCTCCCCCCAATCCCCTGAACACACACTAGCTCCCAGAGCTTCCCTGGCAGGTCAGCTGCTGGCCCTCGGGTGGGGGCGGGGGAGCTGGCTTACCGAGGCATTCTCCACTGGCTGCCTTCCTTCCCGGCCTCCCCCACTCTCCAACCTACACCTCCCAAATCAACTGCTTTTAAGTAAAATATCTTGTTCCAGGGTCTGTTTCTGGGGAACCCCACACTAGGACACATCTTCCCAGGGTCTGCAGGCGTCTAGGCCTGGGCAGGGGACGGTGGGCGGCCAGGTGGGGCACCTGCACCCGGGGGCTGTCGCACCTATGTAAGTGCACACCAGGCGCCCTGGAGGCGGGCGGTCAGGCCTCACCTCTGATGCTCGGGGAGAGTCTACACACCCACCCCCCGGCACCCAGTGCCCCCACCCTCTCTGGCAGTGGGAGCTGCCCCACCCACCCCCAAAATAAGAGCCAGCAGGGCCCAGAGCCCAAGCCAGGAGACTGGAGCCCTGTCCAACTCCACCACCAACACCCTGTGTGACCCCAAGCAGTCAACCTTTCTGGGCCTCAGTTTCCTCATCTCAAAAAAGAAGAGGCTGGATAAGATAACATTCAAGTCCCTTCCAGCTGATGATTCTAAATCTGAAGAAATTCATGTGGCGAGAGAGGCTGGGGACAAATGCCCAAAGGTTTTAACAGTTCCTTGGAGCAAAAAGAAGGATGAGAACAGACTAGGAGGTATGAAGAGCTACACAAGCACAGGGCCTATCTAAGCGGTCATTCCCTGGGCTGCCGCAGGGCCTGGCTGGCATCCAGTAAACACCTGCTGGATACACAGACTGACAGGCAAGGGTATCAGCAGTAAGGCGCGGCTTTCACACTGGACCGGAACCTCCCATCGCTCTGCCTCCTGGCCCCTCAGCGTGGCAGGGAGACAGCTAGGAGCACCCGCAGCGTTGCCAGCCAGCCTTGGGAACAGCTTGTCCCTTTAGCCACTGCCTCACAGACACTGCGGGAAAAGCCCGCCTCAGGAATTCCGCCAGCCTCATAGCAGCTTTCCTGTGCCTGTCACCACAAGGCAGGCAGTTACTTGAACAGGACAGTTGCTTTGGAGAGAGCTGGGGGACTCCTCACCCAGCACCCACAGGGTGGGGAGAGGAGGAAAGAGTGAGGGATGAGGAGGTCAATGCCACACACGTTTAAAAAGCAGTGCAAGCCACCTTTGCCTCTGCCTCCCCCTAAGGCCCCTCACCTGCACAGGCCTCCTCCGGGCCTGCTAATTACCAGCTACCTAACCCATTCTCCTCCAGGCCTCATCCATAGGCCCTAGGCCCTCAGGGATCTCGCCTGCGGCTATTTTCAATGTTCATAAAGCTGTATGACATGTCCTTGCTTGCGTTAAGCCTGCCTCGCATGCAGTAATAGGGGCTCGCTGGCTTCACTCTCAGTTTCTCCATCCCCAGGCTGGGGAAGTGGCCCAGGGGGTGGTGATGCTATTGGGATTTTAGGGAAAGTCTTGACAAGTGTCCGTGATGTGTATGTGCATGTGTGTGTGTGTGCGCGTGTTGGGGGGCGGGGAGTTTTCTGCTCTGGGATAGCGGGAAGGCCTTCGGGAGGCCAGAAGGCGAGATGACCGCTCCAGCCCTTGGACCCTGGGGCAGGTCAGTGACGTGACATCCTTGGAGAGAATTGCCAGCTGTACCCAGGCTGCCAGCTCCCTGCCACTCCCTTGCTTGTGAGGGCTCAGGACCCCAGGGACTGATTTCTTCACAAGTCTCCTAAATGTAAATTCTCCTCATAAGTATTTATGATGCTGCAGATTGAACATAATAAAACGCTTAGCGATTATGGATGAGCCAGTCGGAGCAAGCCAGGGTTCTCCAGGAGGCGAGAAAAGGAGACATTTCAATCTCACACACTAAATCAAAAACAGCTTAGCCTCAAACCATCTCCCCACAGAGGCTTGGGAGCACTTCCCACACTGCCTCCCTCCTGTCCTGTAGCCAGAGGAGGGCAAGGACAGGCCCTGGGGCAGGCTGGGCCCTTCTGGAGGGTGCCTTGTAGCCAGCCCTCTGCCCAAGCTGCGGGCAGAGGGGGGCGGCTGCCTGGGTGGCCCAGGGTCCCCACTGCAGACAGACCCAGGCCTTTCTAACCACTTTCTTCCGTCCAGCAGCTTGAAGCCAGAAAACCCAGGCAAGGAGGAGGCAGGGGACCCAGAGGTTCCAAGCACAGATGGAGGGGAGAAGGGTCCCAGTTCCAATCCTGGCCCTACCCTCTCACTGGCCACCTGACCTCCGTGAGCCTGTTTTCCCCCATGGAAAACGAGAGGGTAAGTCTCCTGCCCTAGGCTGTTGCAGGAGGGAGGGAACGCGGCGAAAGGATGAGAGTGCTTGGAAGTGCTCACTACTCTTCCTAGAGATCACCCTCCCGCGGCCCTGAGGGCGGCCACCCCTGCCCCTGCTGACCCCAGTCCTAGGATGCCTCCCTCCCAGCCTTCACAACCTCGGAGGCAGTGCCAAGTAAGGCGCCAGCTCCGGCCTCTCCTCACTGGCCCTGTGGTCTTGGGCCCACCTCCCCACTTCCACTTGGAAAAATCAGTAACGGCACAGCCCCCTCCTGGCTTGCTGTGCACCTTCAGTGATGTAACAAGGGGATCTCCAGGCACCGCCCCTGTCGGAGTTCAGTGACTCCAGAGCAGGCAGGGGGCAGGTGCTCTCATCGCTGTGAGCCTGGGCTGGCCCAGCTGGACAAACCCCCGTCCCCAGGACCGGCCGGGTGAGCGGACAGACAGGACCGTGAGAGGCCTGCAGAGGAGAGGGTAGTGGGAGGCCGAGGGACTCCCCATGTGGGTCTGTCACGCCTCCCTTGTCCTCCTCCTCCTCCTCCATCCCCTTCCTTTCCTCATGCCTTCCCTTTCCAGTCACTGCCAGGGACCTAGCTCTGCCCTCCAGGGGCCGGCAGTGCTGGGCGAACCCCTGGCTCTGCTCCCAGCTCCCTTCCTCCACCTCCTCCAGGGCTGGGGTCTCTGGAGGCGGCGCCCCCACCTGCTGGGACACTGAATGGAGCTCCATGTGCTGGGACAAGGCAGGCGAGGCAGGTTACGGGCCTGCAGGCCATCTGAGCACCATTCTCCTTCTTGCTCTCTCAGCCGCCCTTCATTTTTAAGATGGGCACAGATTCTTCCATTTCATCTCAGTTCCTTCCATTGAGAGATGGGGTCTACATCCCCTTAAAACCTAGTAGGCTTTGTGGCTGCTTCAACTGGTCGATGACAGCAGAGGTGACACTATGTGACAGCAGAGAGTAGGTTACAAAAGCCACATAGCTTCTGCCTTGTCTCCGGGAGCACTTGTTCTTCAGCCACAATATGAAAAGTCCTACTGCCTGAGGCCAACATGCAAGGCCCTGCAGGGGGAGGGGCGGGGCGGGAGGGGCGCCCGGGGAGCCCAGCAGCTCCAGTCCCAGCTGTCTGCCACCACAAGAGAGGCACCAATTCAGGGCTGCCAGCTGAGCCTGCTGATTCCCAGACTCATGAGAGATATTATTATTATTGTTTTAAGCAACTATGCTTTGGGATGATTTTTTTCAACAGATAATTGGACTAGCCCCATAGCATACTATGTTTGAAAAGAAAGGTCTTTGCGGGCTTAGCACACATCTGCTGCCCTCTCTTCTCCCACACTCAGAGCAGACAGCGCTAATCCATCACAGCACACTCCCCAAGGCCAGACTTGCCTTAGATTCCAGGTCAACCAAAAATCCAGGCAATCACTACAAACTGAGCAAAGTGAGATAAAACAGGTTTGTCGTTAGCGATCTGAGGTTTCAGTAGGCTGTGCCCAAGCTCAGGCTTCTAAATTATGACATAGCCACTGATTTCACCTAGTGGTAGCTTATGGGAAATGCAGGCAAAGTACTTAGGGCTGTTGGCCTTGCAAACCTAAATTGAGAACGGATGGTAAGAGCCACCCAGTGGGATCGAAGGGCCATGCTAGTTTGCCTGCCTGTCTCCTAAACCATTCCTTCTCCCACGGTGCACCTCCATGGAGGCTCTCTCCCAGCCCTTCCATAACAGAATGTTAGAAGCTCCCTGCTGCTCCGTGTGAACAGTTGACACAGGAGCTGGTGTTACCAGCTCCGCACTGAGCGGTTGGGTGATCCGTCCCACACAGCCAGAGCTGGACTTCAGGGATGCCAGCTCTGCACTTGGAACTGCTCCCAGAAATGCTTGGAAGACCAGCTTCCACAAGACTCGCTTCCTGGCCTGCCCTACCCTCTGGGCGGTGTCCCTGGGCGGCAGGGCCTTCAGCGCAGGAGGCTTTGATAGACAGGCTCCCTTGAGAGGAAAAGGGAAGATGACCCATTTCCTCACGTGCCTCCTGCTGGCCGCTGACACTACGTCACAGTATGTGTCTAGAAAGAGAAAGTCCAGCTTTCTGATGGGGCATTCCCTCGGCAGGGGCCCAGGTAAACTGATCTGACCTCTCAGTCTCCATGGAGCAATGTGAGCTGCCTGCCTCCTACCTTGGCGGCCGCCACTTAAGCAGGCAGAAAAGCAGCAGCCACAGACAAAAGGGAAGTGGGAGAGGCTGTAACCGAAGGCCAGGCTTGAGAGAGGGAGGAGAGTAGCCTACCTGTTGACAAGCAGGAAGTTCGCCGCGAGGCACAGCACGGAGGGCACGGTGGAAGCGATGGAAAGGTAGCTCTCAAAGTAATTCTGTAAGCACATAAGTGAGGAGGCCGCTGAGGTTACTTGGGATGGAGGGGAGGGGCCCCACCAGAGCTTAGCGACAGGGCTCCTCTTGGTGGGAACTCTCCCTGCTGTCTTCAGAGAGCTACGAGTGATGGGTTGGTCTACCCAAGGTGGCATGGTCCACTCACGGGGTCACTCAACACACAGACACAGAGAGGAGCTGCACTAAGTACTAGGGTTATAAAGAAGGAAAACACTTTCTCTCTGCCCTCAGAGAGGCCCCCCATGCTCTGCAGCCTCTCATCGACCTATTCTACTTGTTCCACTGCAGACGAGGCTATGGGGCCTCGACTCAATGCATGTCTGCAAAGAAAAAAAATTTGCCCTATCAGCCTTCTTAGCCCAGTGTCAAATTTCAGTGTTACCCAAGTGGGCTTTGGTATGACTCCTCATACCAAATCACATTCTCACGTGCTAACAAGTGAGGCCTCTTAAAAATAGACCAGGCCCTGATACCTGCAGGGCCACTTTGTACTGATTCTGGATTAGTTCCTTCCATAGAGCTGCTACTGAATGTCAAAGGCATTCAGGGAAGTGGCTCCTAGACTGGCCAAGGTGAGGAAATGGGGCATTTCCTGGAAGCAGCTCAGGGGTATTAGAGACAAAGAGTGTATGAACCCACAGACAAGATAACTAATTGCTGATCATAATGTGCTGAAACTTACAGCTAAAGACGCTGTGTAGCAACTGTTTGTGTTTTTCAAAACTCGGAGAATTGTCTACTTATAAGGGTGGATTTTATGGTGTGCACATTGTCCCCCAATATCCTGTCTAAAAACAACAAAACATTGGACAGGGCTGCCAGATCTTGGCTTTGCCATTGTATGTCAAACCATGAACCCCAGGTCAGCAACGATGGGTTCTAAGCCATGACAATGCTTACACGTATTAAGCATTTACACTGTCACATACAAGGGCTTTATATGAATTACAGTCTTTACCCTAAAAAATAAAAAAAGAGCTGTGAGCATTCTACTCTGGAAAGCCTACAAAACTGAACTTACCCGAGGAAATATTTTAATTACAAATGTGCCAAGTGCAAAAAACAATGTGTGCAAAACACTTGCCCACGTGCAAAGAACTCTAGCAATTGTAAGGTTCATTATACAGCAGCAACTTTCAACTGGTGTGCTGCAGGAATTCTAAAACACGTAATGCCCGAGTATTTAGTCAGGGGCACTGACCTCTTTTCCCTTAGATTGTCAAATTTAAAAAAATGACAACAGCCAACACAATAATAACCATGCACAATTTTGATTCAAAAATTTGATTTAAAATGAATCAAAATCATGCCTATTTTTTAGGTCAGGTCAGCAGAAATACATTTTTTGGTGTGCTGCAGAATTTTAGTAATTAGTTTATGTGTGAGGTGAAAAAGGTTGAAAATCTCTACTACAGAAGACAACACGGGCTTCCTGCCCATTAAGAGTGGAGTATACCACTAGGGGTGTAAGACAGAATGTAAAGGTTTTTTAACATCTCAAAACACTGCAGGAAGAGATGTTAGAATTCTGCGATTTTTAAATTATTTTTTATTTTTTTGCCAAATCAGAAGTAGGAGCAGTGAGTTCTAAGGGAATTCCAGGTAGGGGAGTAGAACGAGGGGGACTGAGCACTTGAGACTGGGAATGGGTGTGGGTGTGGGATAAGGTCCCAGAGGAGGGGGGGATTTGAGTGAGACCCTGAAACAGAGGGTCAAATCTCTCCTTTCCGGGAGTCTGACTGCAACGTGGAGGCCAAGAAAGATGTCACAACAGGCTCCTCTGGTCTGAAGCAAAGATGGTTCCGTAGCCCCTTTTTAAGCCTGCAGAGTGCTTTTGGTCTCTGAAACCTGTACCCTGAATGTAAGGTCACGGCAGCTTTGCAATTAAAATGATAATCACAGCTCATGTGGTCCATCAACCATGAGCCTTAGAAATAGCCTTCCTCCCGCCCGGTGCCACCTCATTGTTCCTGCCCTGATGGGCTCAGCAGAGCCTGGACTGGTCGGAGGCACTCAGTCAATTACATCTTGACACAGTGGCTGGGCGTACGTGAGGGCTGGCAAGCAGACACCAAATGGGAGAAGTGGAAAAAGGCCCCGAGGAGCAGATGGCTGCAGATGGGGGCCAAGACGACCCCAATGCGAGCCCCCAGGGAGGGGCCCTTTGCTCAGTGGTTGCTTATTCCGTGGCGAGTCCATGCACAGCCATCACACAGAATGTAGTACCTCTGTCTTTGTTTTGTTGTTGTTTTTTGAGAAGGCTCAGGTTCCCTGACGGTTTAGGAATGGGGATTTCCTAGGTAATTGAATGTTCTGGCTTGTTGATACTTAAATGAAAATTGTTCTTTTAATGTTGGAGAGGCTATGACTCCCTTTCTGTTGACTGAGTCCATTTCTCTGTTAAACAAAGAGCATGTGGGGCGGGGGAATGCGGGGTGGGGGGTGGGCAGGCAGGGCGGGCTTGACCCTGGGCCATCTTCCTACCGGTACAGATGGGGCTGCGGGTGGGGTGTAGGCTGACTCAGCACACCACATGGAACTTTTTTCTTAAACCTAATTTCTGATATAAACATGTCATGGGTTTTTGTTTCTGGGGTTTTTTTTTGTTGTTGTTGTTTTTTTTTTTTTACTTATTTGCTGCTTTTGCTTATAAATAGAGTTCTAGAGAAATGAGACGTGCTGAGCAGACTCTTAAGGTGGCTTCACGACCCCAGCCTCCTGTGCTCACATGCTTTTATGAGTTTGGGCAGGACCTGTGACTTGATTCTAACCAAGAGAATACAGTAAAGGTGACAGGTATACATGATGATATGCATGGTATTATGTTACATGAGGCAGTAGCAACCATCTTGCTGGACTCTTTTTTTTCCTTCTGTGATGGCCTGAAGGAGCAACCGGCTTTGCTGGAGAAACCCATGTGACAAGGACTGCAAATGATCCCTAGTTGCTGAGAGCTCTGTCCTATGACTGCAAGGAAGTGACTTCTGCCAACCACCCAGATCAACATGGAAACGATCCTTTTCCAGTAGGGTCTCCAATGAGACTACAGCCTTGGTCAACCCCTTGATGGCTGTCACGTGAGCCCTGAGCCAAGGACGCAGCTAAGCTACATCCATACTCCTGGCCTCCCGATACTGTGATATAAGAAATCTGTGTTTTTAAGCCACTAAATCTGAAGTATTTGTTAAGCAGCAATAGATTAATTAATAGGGGTTTAAGATAGCTGAGTTCCTACTAACCAGGGCTTTTCTGAAATTGAAGCCTTCCTGTTGTAACTTAAATTCAGTTCCTCTACAAAAACAGGGACAACTCATCATGATCTTTTATTCAACCTCCGCTGAAATTAGGATCATTTTTGCAAGCAGCATGCACTGATTTCAAGAACCTGGACTCAGTTTACGTTCCACCCTGGATCTGCTCACTTCACCTGTCCCTCAAACTTTGCCTTGCTACTTGGTCCCATGGTCATAAAGCCACTGCCACCGCTGTCACCAGAGAGGAGAGACCCCTGCACCTGTGTACTGCCTGGGCTACACCTGCTCCCTGGTGGCTGGGGAGGCACCAGGTGAAACTCTCTGAAGGGCAGGGGAGGCAAAGTCTCACGAGGTAGACTTTGACCAATGAGCGGCAGGGGGTGGGAAGGAGACAAGAAAGAAATCATTTGCTCTTCCTCTCCCCTAGTACACTGTTCCGAAATGCGGTGACTGCACGTGGCATTGCTGGAGACAGCCCATGTGCATGAGCAACCAGCTGCATTTGGTTGCAAGACTAAGGGCAGCCCAGAAATACCGAGGCCTGTGTTTGTTCTCTCCCATTCCTGCCCCACTTCCCTTTTCCTGCACTCTTACTTCCCCAGGACTGCACTCCCGGAGACACTATTTGCACAGAAGGTGTTGCCTCAGGCTCCTTCGTCAGAAGAGCCCCACAGTGAGGACCCTACCTGCAACTCTTGACACTGCACTTTGCAGACCTGCAGCTGGCATTTCCTTCCTGGCTTCATCTCACTTGCTTCTAAGGGAGTTGGGACTACCGCCTCCCATCTTACTCAAGGAAAGAAAAGACATTTTAATACTGGTTCAAACTCATTACGATTAGAACGGTAAGAGTACTGCCCCCTCGAGAGCAACTGTAATCGCCACCCCATTGGGTGTTATCTTGTAATGCAATGTTTTGGGATGACTCATACCACAGTTCATCTCTATGTGGGCCTGATTCACCGTGAGAGCTCCTCCAAAGGCGGTGTTGTTATTCATCCTACAGAGCTCCTTGCAACATGGTTGGTGAACGTGGCCTCTACCTTCAGAGGTAAACCCAAGGTTCGCAATGGCTAGATGCAGCCAAGGGCTGGAGGGCAGTGGGTTGCCTCATATGACAGCAGAGGTGGTGCTTTGCACAATGCCAGGGGGCACCAGTCCTGCGACTGTAATACAGGGGAGCCCCTTGGAGTTGTGCAGGATGGCAGCCCTGAGTACACAGTCCATAGAAAACCTGCAGCCCTAGGGATCAGTTTGGGTCTTGTGTAGTTGCAGGTGATTCAGCGAGAAGGCAGGGCTGGAAGGTGGGTGGGTGGATCCAGCAGCACAGGATACTAGGAGATGGTAAGGCTTCCCGTGCAGGTTTCCCTGCCTCGGCCGGTAGGGGGCCCAGAGGCTGCTAACTCCATGGCCCTCAGTCTGGCTGGGAGGCCACTGTCCATTCAGATCAGCCTCACTTCTGTTTTAACCCATCCTTGGTTTATTGAAGATGTGGCAAGTCCCTGTGTGCCCAACACAACGCTGGTGTTTGGCATATAAATTAAAATAGAAAAGACACAGTGCCTGTTGCCCTCAGGGAGCGTGGAGTCTGGTGTAATCCTACGGCTGCAGTACAATACAATAGAAACAAGGTGCGGTGGGAGCGGAGGGAGGAGGGGAGGGGAAGCCCCCACCAAACTGGGGAAAGTCTGCAGATGGGCAAGGGGAAGTGGGGAGCTAGAGGACAG